AGGCTCATAGCTCGCGGTACTCTATTCATCCGGGTGTCGCGAAGATGAACCAGGACTTGAGGCAACATTACTGGTGGACGAGGATGAAGAAGGACATAGGAGTATGTTGCTCGGTGTCTAAATTGCCAGCAGGTAAAGTATGAGCATCAGCGGTGCTTCAGAAGTTAGAGATTTTGGAGTGGAAATGGGAGCGGATCATTATGGATTTCGTTGTTGGACTACCACGGACTCAGCGGAAGTTTGATGCAGTTTGGGTAATTGTGGATAGGCTGACCAAGTAAGCTCATTTCCTTCCTGTGATGACTACCTATTCTTCCAAGCAGCTGGCTCGAGTTTATATCCGTGAGATTGTTAGACTTCATGGCGTGCCGGCAGCTATCATCTCTGATCGGGATACGCAGTTTACATCACGGTTTTGGAGAGCCATACAGCATGAGTTGGGTACTCGGGTGGAGTTGAGCATAGCATTTTACCCTCAGACGGACGAGCAGTCCGAGCACACTATTCAGATTCTTGAGGATATGCTCCGTGCGTGTGTGATGGAGTTTGGAGGTTCTTGGGATCATTTCTTGCCACTTGTGGAGTTTGCATACAATAACAGTTATCAGTCTAGTATTCAGATGGCACCGTATGAGGCTAAGTATGGTAGGTGGTATCGGTCCCCAGTGGGTTGGTTCGAGCCGGGCGAGGCCAGATTATTGGGTACGAACTTGGTTCAGGATGCCTTGGAGAAGGTTAAAGTGACTCAGCATAGATTTCGCACAACCCAGTCCAGACAGAAGAGTTATGCGGACCACAAGGTTCGCGATGTTGTATTCATGGTTGGAGAGCGGGTCTTACTCTGGGTTTCGCCTATGAAGGCGTTATGAGGTTCGGAAAGAAGGGCAAGCTGATCCCAAGGTTTATTGGTCCCTTTGAGGTGTTGCGGCGAGTTGGGGAGGTTGATTATGAGCTTGCCTTACCTCCCAGCTTAGCAGGACTTCATCCGTTATTTCATGTTTCGATGCTCCGGAAGTATCACGGCGATCCATCTCATGTGTTGGATTTCAGCTTAGTCCGGTTGGACAAGGATCTATCCTATGTTGAGGAACCAGTGGCTATGTTGGACAGGCAGGTTCGAAAGCTGAGGTCAAAGAACATTCCATCAGTAAATGTTCAGTGGCGGGGCCAGTCGGTCGAGGAGGCGACTTGGGAGACCGAGCAGGATATGCGCAGCCGTTACCCTCACCTTTTCACCACTTCAGGTATGCCTCTATGCTCGTTCGAGGACGAACGATTATTTTAAGAGGGGAAGGATGTAACTACCGGGCTGGTCATTTTGAGAGTTAGAGCCCCGATCCCCTATTAACTGCTTCCCCCGTATTTATTTCTGCTATTGCAACTTGCCGGGAGGTCTCGTTCTAGTTTTTGGGGTGCTATGAGACACTTGGTCCGTAAATGGAGGCTTAAGACATAGGATTTTGACCGTAGTCGAAATTGTGTGAAGACGACTCCAAAATGGAGTTTCGTCGATTCTGTTAGCTCCGTTGGGTGATTTTGGGCTTAGGGGCGTGTCCGGATTGTGTTTTGGAGGTCCGTAGCTCATTTAGGTTTGAAATGGCGAAAGTTAAATTTTTGGAGATTTGGACTGGTAGTAGAATTTTTGATATCGGGGTCAGATTCCGATTTCGGAAGTTGGAGACGTCCGTAGTGTTGATTATGACTTGTGTGCAAAATTTGGGGTCAATCGGACATGGTTTGATAGGTTTCGGCATCGGTTGTAGAATTTTGAAGTTTCAAGTTCTTTAAGTTTGAATTGGAGGGTGATTCGTGATTTTAGCGTTGTTTGATGTGACTTGAGGGCTCGACTAAGTTCGTATGGTGTTTTAGGATTGGTTGGTATGTTTGGTTGAGGTCCCGGGGACCTCGGGTGTGATTCGGATGCTCAACAGGTCATTTTTCAACTTAGGAAAGTAGCAGATTTTTCTGGTATTTTGTTGCAGAGATTTCCTTCATCGCGTTCGCGGGAGGAGTCTCGCGTTCGCATAAGCCATCTGGGGCGGGTGGAAATTTAATGCTCCACGTTCTCGATTTTGGTCCTGCGTTTGCGAAGCTCTAAGGTCATATGCCTACACGTTCGTGAAGATGGTCCCGCGTTCGCATAGGAGAGTTTGGTTGCTGGGTCCCCAGGCCATTTGCCTACGCGTTCGCGAGATTGGTTCCGCGTTCGCGTAGGGTTGAGCTGAGTGGCTTTCGCGTTCGCGATAGGGTCATCGCGTTCGCGATGAAAAAATTCTGGGCCAAGGCAAGTTGTGTTTCGTGAACGCGAGGGGCTTTCCGCGTCCGCGAAGAAGGAATAATTGGGCAGTACTTAAACATTTCAAAAACGAGGGTTAGCCATTTTTATCAAAACTTGAGTTTGGGAGCTCGGATTTGGATGAGATTTTGAAGGATTTTCAGAGATACCAATTGGGTAATGATTCTTAACTTTATGGTTATATCCCGCTAATCTATCATTAATTTTATCATTTAATTTCGGATTCGGGGTGAAAATTGGAGAAAATTGAGAAGAGTTCGTAGACCAAATATTTGGGTTTTGATCGAGATTTTGGTATCGGATTTGGGTAAATTTGGTATGGTTAGACTCGTGAGTGAATGGGTTTTCGTATTTTGTGACTTTTACCCGATTCCGAGACGTGGACCCGGGGAGGCTTTTTGGGTGATTTTTCAATTTCTTGCCTTAGCTTTGATTTCAATAGCTAGATTAGTTCTTGTAGTTGTATTTATGTTATGTAATTGGTTTTGGCTAGATTTGGGTCATTCGGAGTCAGATATTCATGGAAAGAGCATTGTGTCGGATTGAATTGTTCTTGGTTCGAGGTAAGTGACTTGTCTAACCTTGTGTGGGGGAACTCCCCTAAGGATTTTGGTACTGTTTTGATATGTGAGCGTCGTGTACGTGAGGTGACGAGTACGTACAGAGCCACTTGTTGTAAAATTCCGTTTTCACTAAGTCATAACTTGTTTCTCCTTATTTGAACTACACTAGCATATGTAACTATCCTATTTAGTTTAGAATAGCATGCCTACGTGTTTTAACTGCCTATCTGATCTCTTTGCAGCATGTTTAGTGGAATTACCTGCTTCCCTTGATTTGAACTTAGTCTAAGCTGTAGGTTTTCTTGCTGTAACTGTTATTTCTGTTGGTTGAGCTGCATATTTACTTTGGTACTACGGAACGGTATTACGGGAGATCCCCTTATACTGCATATTTACTTTGGGACTACGGTACGGTATTCCGGGAGATTCCCTTGTTCAGCATATTTACTTTGGGACTACGGAACGGTATTCCGGGAGAACCTCGTGCACATTTACGCTTGGGACTACGAGACGGTATCTCGGGAGATCCCCTGTTGTTATCTCTGTGTTCTAAGCTGTTGTCTTTCTATGATTTCATTCCTGTTAGATTTTCGTATTTATTTTTACTGCGATATTTCATTCTGTCTTATTTCATTTTATTTATACCAATAGGGCCCTGACCTAATCTCGTGACTACTCGACCGAGGTTAGGCTTGGCACTTACTGGGTACCATTGTGGTGTACTCATGCCCTTCCCTGCACATGTTTTCGTGTGCAGATCCAGGTACCGCTTATCAGCCGCATTATCAGTGAGGCGAGGCAGCTTGTAGAGACTTCAAGGTATATCTGTCGCGTCCGCAGACCTCAGAGTCCCTATCTACTCTTTCCCATGTCAAACATTTCTTGTAGTTCTTTTTGTTATACTCTGGAGTATAGAAGCACTGTTTTCTTTCTGTAGCTTGTGACTTATGATATTCCGGGTTTTGGGAGAGTCTATGTACACTTTGAGAGTGGTTATTGTATATGCCGAGCGACATCTTAGTTTCTTATTTAGATTTACCTGTTGGCTATTAGCTTTCTTGATTTCGTTTCATTTTTCGCAAATATTAGGCTTACCTAGTCGTAGAGACTAGATGCCGTCACGACGGTTCACAGATGGAGAACTTGGGTCGTGACAAGATCAATTTTCAGAAGACTTATAGATAGGAATCTTGTAACGCATAGTTGATTAGGCTTGTTTAGTTTCTTTTGATTTTAATTTTGGTGTAATAAGGAGTTCAGCAAGTAGTAACAGCAGCAACAACAGTGAAATCACAGCTTCCTCGTAGTCCCATCTACCAAAACTTTCAGAACTACACTGACATGATTCCTTTATAGCCAAGGATATGTAGGTAACCTCGGAAGCAAGGTTCATTCAAACTTTTTAAAAAATGCTTCCCATGGAGTATCAAACGGGCAAAAATTACTCATGATTGTTCACTTTATCTTTACTCGAAAACTCTTTATGTTCTCGAGCAAATAGGGACAGGTGTGAGCACGTAATTTTTGCCCTATGCGAAATTACTCCTAAAAAATATACAAAATAGTTTTAAATTATTTTTGTAGAATTAGGAATTTTGTTTGTCATTTTGCATCATTTTAAGCATTTTCAAAATTACAAAAAAAACATCAAAAAAATATTTTTATCTTTCATTCGTTACATTTTTAGATTCTAATTGCATTTTTAGGATTTAATTACGTTATTAAAAACATTGTCAAGCGAAAATCAAAAAAAAAAATATAGTAGTCATTTTGCATTTTAGCTTTTAGGTTTAAATTAGTAGTTTTCTTTCGTTAGTTCACATTGTTACTTAATTAATTAGTTAATTGCTAAACTAAAATAGGTGTTTAGGTTTATTGTGCAAATTAATTTGAATTAAGAGTATAAAATAAAAATAGTTAAATCTGAAAATCAAAGTGAAGGAAGATAGAAAAGGAAAATAGGGTTGCTATGTTCAAAATGGTCCAAGCACTTCAGCAGTCCAGTTCATGAAATTCGCCCCAAAGCCCAAACCCAGTTCATAAATCCGGTCCAGCTTCATTGATGTCCAAACGACGACGTTTGGCATTATTCTATCTCCACCGTTCGTTGATCATAATTTGACGGTTCGGAACTGCCCAAGCCAAAACTGTCCTATTGACCCTACCCCACCCCAAAGACCGCCCTTCTCCCCTCTCTCTCTCTCTCTCTCTCTCTCTCTCTTACCCCCACTGTTGTCCGCCCTATTCCGCTGCCGGAAATCACCTCACGGCGACGGACAGCCTCCAAACGGCTCCAAATCTTCACCAAACAATCCCCATCCCCTCCTCTTTTAAAGACCCGTAATCTCGTCTATGAAATCCCCACAGGTTTTTTCAATTTTTAGATCTGAGATTTCTCAAAAAATTTAATTCGTCTTTTCCTCCATTTTAAGTTTGTTGATTTCGAAATCAACATCAGTCGATATCAATCGATGATGATGATCTCGAATTAACCGCATGGCCGCCGGAGTTCCGTCTAACTTCCTTGACCTCTCTTACTGGCTGATTTGGGTTCCGAGATGGTATTCTTCTCCTCTTCTTCTCTATCTTTTTTCTGTTAGTTAGTAAATAAATTGATGATTCACCTAGTTAGTTTAGTCGGATAATCAGTAATTTTCATGGGTTTACATAATAATTAGATTTGTTGATATTAACATGACCAAAATAGCAGCTAAATTGCATAATAGCTAGTTTAATCGTATATTATATTTGTTTTAATTCTTTTTACCGCGATAGTGCTTTTCAAATTAGAATTGAAATTAGTTTTAGTAGTAGTGGGTTGTTCTATTTTTTTATTTTAGATTTGTGGGGTTTGGGTTTAATAGCTTGAGGCCCACGCATGTAAGTCCGGTCATTGGCAATTAGCAGGGGGTCTGGAAGGTTTTGTAGAATCTTTTAGAATTCTCTAGGAGAGTGTAGAAAAGGACTAAATTGCAAAGAAAAACTAAGAAATGGTCAGGTGTAAGGGACTTAGGGAGCAAATAATAAAAAAATAAGGGGCTGTAAAATAGAGAAGAATATCTGAAGAGGGACAGCTGTATCAAAACTGTTAAAAAAATGCCTCTTTCCTATTTTTTAGCTGACACTTTTTGCAGATTATTCCCTCATTTTGCTGCATATAAGACACTCACTTTTTTCTGTATTTTTCAGAGAATCCCCTCACATATTGACGCATCTACACTCTTTCAGATTTTCATTTTTGTTTTCTCATCTGGCATATCTCACATACTAATCTCTCACTCCCCTACTCTCACTTCCTTTTACACACACTAAAACATCTTAGTAGTAGCTGGAAATTAAGAATCCAGATCTGAATTTCAAAAGTTTCAGAAACCAAAAGCTAAAAAAAATCAAAAACAAAAAAGGGAATCATAAGCTGGTCCAAATCTCAACTCATTTATTTTATATTCTCTAGGAATTTCAAGGTCATAGAAGTGATGTTGTTTGCTATTTTTTGCTGGATTTATTAGCTTGAGCTTCCTTTCCTTTCTCCTTGCCTTTATTTGGCCATTTGCTGAATGTCTCTTGCTAGTAGATATGTAAAGTTCCTTCTGTAACTCTTGTGAATGTAGAAATACAGAATTGATATGTTGATTCCCTGACTATGCCTACTTCTATATGTTCCTGATGTTTGAATGTGAAATTTGTTTCATCTTTGTTTCTTGATGAGTATCTGATTACGTTTGTTTGTTTGAGCTAAATATTTAAGCTATGATTACTCACTAACTGGACTAGTTGCTACTGATTGTTCACTCACCTTATTGTAAAACCACGGTTAGTCCAGCATTAATGTTAGCTTATGAATTTTTGAATTGAATATGCCTACTGTAGTCGCTTCTTTACACACATGACGGTGAAGGTGGAATCATGGGTTTCAATTTGAAGTCAAAAGCATGCGAAGATTATGAGTTAATGATTCGCAGCTTATATGTTGTAATACTGTTTAGGTCCGGAAAATAGATGGTGTTTGGTTCATAGAAATGTCTCTTAGTATGAGTGAGAATTTGAACTATTTCCCTTTGTTCCTTTTCGTGCTGTAGTGATTTAGCTTGAATATTCATGTATTAATGTTTAAGAAAGTCTGTAACTAATTTTGCTCCTCCTGATATTTGCAAATTATATTGAAAAGTCATGTTGATTGACTGGGTTGAACAGTTGGCCCAAATGGTGCTATTTAGCCAATTTAGAATCAAATGAATTTTGGACTCTGCATGTATTCGGGCTCAACCTTGAGCCCATCTAGAAGCATGCCCCATCACATAAGTAGGCCGACCATTGCAGAAGGGTGGGGACGCCTTGGGCTTCATTCTGGCCCATGTGCGCTTCACAATTTGGACTTGTTTGAAACTTTAGCATAGGACTCTAGTTAGGCAACTCATAAGCTATTAATTAATTATTAGTCAATCGGTATGACTGGTCCACTAATTGACTTTCCTAAAATACAGCACAACCAGGTGCTTCACATGGCCTTCTTTAACAAACTAATTTCGCTTCTCTTAAATCAAACATTGCATGTTTCCTTTATGAATTGCCACAGTCGGGCTTTTAACTAGTGTTATCGTTTCAGTAGCATCTGTGCACCCAAGCTTGTAGTTTAATCTTTAGCAATCAATGCCATAAGGATAGACCCTTTTACTTAATCCTTGAACTTTAGGAAATTAGTTAACTCATGAATATTCGTAGGATGTTTTAGGCGCGTTCTAATATACCATCGTGATTATGTACACGTTCGCATGGCATAATTATGATTCCCAAAATAAATCAAGGTATGCGTTCGCGCGACTTTCGCTAAACAACCTTATTAATAGTGTTATTGATTTTGTACACGTACGTATGACATGATTTTTAGCACACTAAATAAAATTGATTCACACACATGTAATCCGTTTCAAAGATAAATCCATAACGCCATAATTAAAAGCGGTAAAAGGTAAAACGCACATAGGTTCTAAAACTACGTAACTAAACCAATAATTAAGCCAAGTGTGATTAAAGCGGCCGTGCTAAAATCACGGAATCCGGGAGTGCCCAATACCTTCTCCCGGGTTAATAGAATTTCTTACCCGGTTTTCTGTGTTTTGTGAGCTTTAAAACAGAGTCAATTTCCTCGATTTGAGACTTTAAAAATAAACCGGTGACTTGGGACACCATAATAAGTATTCCAAGTGGCGACTCTAATTAAATAATAATCTCATTTCAAATAATATCACTTTAATTGAAAAAACTCGCTATTCCTCGGAAAAAGGTGTAACACCAAGTATTCTAATTTGATTTTGTATTTATTTAAAATTGCAGAAATATGACTAGGCTATGAATTAGTCTGTCCAAAGATATAGCAATTTAGATGAGACTGATAAGAATGATTTCAATAAAGAAGAGTTCTTGTCTTTAAACTGTTTGGTATAAAAGAATTGCTGAGCAGATTACCATCAGATGTAAGAAAAAGTAACGAAATGCCTTCAGCACCTCCAAAGAAATGAATAATTCAACAAGAATTTGAGCCTGGACATAACTGCAACAAGAAAGATTAAAGCAAGCACATTCAAGATTTTACATTTTTTAATTCTACAAAACTATAGGTAGACAAAAGAACTCTTTTATGAAATCAAGAATAACAAAAAAGGAGTAAAGAAAAAGAAAGATAAAACCTTTGAATTCTTGCGTATATACACGATAAACATTGTTCTTACAGCAAGTTTTGGACTGATTTTCTAATATCCTGGAGTGCCTAATATATATTGCCACTAACATAGCTACACAAACGATGATTCATGTAGAAGCTAAGTTCAACATTCTCGAAGAATGTACACGCGTATATACTTATAACTACGACTAATAAACCTAGAGAGAGAGAGACGAGAAATCAGAAACGTGCTCTAAGAATGAGCAGAACAAATGTTTACAACTTTTGACCTGAACAAAGGTCCCCTACCCTGGAGGACCTGGAATGCGCCTTCTTTTTATCGGTGACGCCAAGCCACTTCTTGAGAAGCTGGAAAACTTTCTCATCTCTTAATAGTTCCCTGTGACCACCTTGAACTCCTACTCTTTCCACCGCTTCAAAATTATCCGCCTGCAGAATTATCAGCACAAAGAGTCAACAATAAGCCATGTGATTGAGTATTTGTCTACGGTGGTATACAATTTCCCTAATCTCTGGTTGGTTTCCTCAAATGAAAACACAAGGCAGATGGTAACTAAAACAATGAAGTGGTTAGCTGGAATGTCGCATAAAGATCAACATAACGTTAAGTATTAGTTTATATCTGTTGAAAGGTAAAATTTACAAGGTCATGAGACGAGCAAATAGAGATTTCGGAGGGACGCAAAAGCAAGAGATGAAGGTAATAGCAATGCATCATATGAAATTGTTACAACAAGACTAATTTTACTAACACCTATCCAAAATTTCTTAGTCATGAAGTCAACCATAATATACACAAGCTGTCAGATTACTTCATTCTGGGTTTTCCTAGAAATGTGATGTCACCACAGAAAAATAATACTGCTATCTTTTTCCTTTTCCTTCTTCATTAGAATCAGATTCTGTCTACTTACACGCGCCAAGATAGCATTGATCTTTATAATAAATAAGAAGAGTAAGAAACAAAATAGAGAAGTTATGAATAACCTTTGCTGATTCAGCTGGAACAGTTCCATCACCGTCCACGTAGGAGTATTGCGGCTATATCACAAACGGGATATAGGTTAGTGAGTAGAAAAGCTTCAGGAGCATTATATAACAATAAAGACATGTAATCTCTAAATACAGAACGAATTCCATCCCCATGCACATTTCACACGACCCATTCCTCTAAAGCACCCACCCTAAATAAGATTGAAAGGTCGTTGATAAATTCTCCAGAGTGACCATAACAAAAATCACACGCATTACTGATGCTTCTGGAACAAAACGTACTATCCTCCTCAAGGTGTGGGATTTATATCTTTGGAGATATATGCATGCTTTGGGAAGTAAAATTTGGTGAAACCTTCGAATAAAAGATTCTGCATGGGGTCATTCATAAAAGGGAAATACTATCTAAGACTCATCCAAGTTTTGGGAAATGGCCAATTCCGTACGTGCAGAGCAGATCCTCAAAACCAGACACAAGATTAAAGATCAACGTTTACAAGAAGATTAACCAATGGTCAATTGACTAAATTCCGTACCTGGAGAAAACTCACAAAAATCAAACCCGAGATTGAGATCACATTTGCCAGAAATTAACCAGGGTATTAATTAGCTCCATTTGGTAGAATAACTAGTCAGGAATGCGACCTTAGTTAAGCTGACTCAAAGCAATCTCATATCTCATAAAAACTTAGTTAAAGAGTTAATCATAACGGCCACTGAAAAGTCAGAAATTGCAAGTTTATGTCTTAGATAACATTACCCAAGAAATCCTAAAATCTGAGTTGAACTTTAGCCAGAAGGGGAACCAAGCTATTTGGAGCCTTAACCCCACAGGTTATATCACTACTAACTCTAAAACCTTTTTTGGAGACATAAGGATTCTACCTACACCAATAAGAACATAAGGCAAAAGAATCTTCTTTGAAAACAAACCACAAACCCAGAAAAAAAAAATGCAGAAGAGTTGGAATGTCATAATATCGCTCTTACTCGAAAGGAAAAAGAAGTGAAGTTAGTTACCATTGTATGGCAGACATTCGTTAGGTCCTCGATTGGTGAAGCCTTTGAACCGTAACTACAAAAGAAACAGGTAGACACTAAATAGTGCAGAACCTCAGACAAAGTACGAACCCGTTATGGACTACCTTGTCTTGTTGTATGATGAGATGAAGTTACATACCAAACATCAAAAGGTGTATCAAAAGATGTCCCATAGATGCTATAAAAAGGAATTCCTTGCGGTAATTGAGCAGTGTTTAAAATGTTGCGAGTACTAGCTGCCCAATCAAGAATTGATAAGTTGAAAGGTAGAGCCACTGTTTTCCCATTTAAGTTGAGCTGCAATTCAGGGAAAATTAAAAAAAATCAATTGCTACAAACACTGGCTTCTAGACATAGGAAGATGCATAATAGAAGCAGGTTGTAAGCAATATCATCCAAAACCAATAATAGTAACAAATTCTCCCTCTATCTTATATTCTTATGTATGACACACACATTCTATTTTTGGCCATCATTCAATAGTTGCTACACTTCCGAGGATGATGACAGGTATATCGCCCACAAGTTTTAAAATTTCAACTGCATAGACGATGTTATGATTCTTTAAATTGGTGCAAAAAAAAAATTGTTTTACAGAGAGGTGAATAGAACATTTTTCATCCTGCCCTCTAACATGATAAATAAGAAATATGCAAGTCAAGTTTAATGTAACCTCTAAGCCCTTCCAGCCTTTGTCTCATAAAAGTGAGCTCCATGAATATTTGATACAAGGAAGACAAGGAAAAGGTCATGGTCATTTGAAGTGTTATACAAACAGCATTGAAGTACTACAGCACAGATATGAACATCATATTTTGGCTTGTCATAATCATTGAAGTGAGCATACAGCAGTTGCACTCTTGCTTTTGGTTGGATTAAATTTAGCCACTTTTTTTATGGGTAAATAATATATTATATAAATATTTGCACTAAGCCAGTGCAACATGCGTAATTAGTAATTACAGGTTGTGCAAATCAGCGATTGTGTCTAATATCTCATCTACATCTGGTACAAAAACTAGTTTGCACCAAAAAGAGATCAACAATTGGTCCAAGTGACACTTTTCAGCATCAATGGGGCGGCTAATGTTACACATACTTTACCAAAGCCTTATTACTTTAAGCTTTGACTAGTTCAGACATGCATGAGATCACGAAATGCTTTCTCAGCAAGCAAACAAGCCTTCTCATTTTAATAGCTAATTGGCAAATTGGAGAGGTGTAGAAGCATGAAACTTAAGAACTTATAATATAAAGTTAAAAATTCTAGTGGCTAAAGATAGCTTGGAGACATACCTCGTTGCTCTTCAGTGCTTCTTGAAAGAGAGTCACACTTGTGCTAGCACCATAATGTTCTAGTTCAACCACTGCCTCCCCCTCCTTAGATTTTTTCCTCCACACCAAAATCTCAGGTTGTTTTGCCCACTTGAAGTCGGGATTTGGCAACATCTCGTAGATTGATGGGCACTCAACC